AATATATGTGATGCCGAGGTTTAAGGAAAGTGGAACTTTTTGAGCTATTGACACGACATAATTCAGCGCGAAGAAGAGCCTAATCTACAAAGATCACTACAACTAGAAAGAAGACTAATAACTACTAAACAAAAAGTTATGAGCACGACTGCTCTTGAGAGAAAACTATGACTGAGCGACGAGCGTCGTTGATCGATGCTGTTTAGCAATACTGTCCGCCAATTCGAGGCTCACGATCGCACTCTGCCATATGGCAATACTTCGCGACGGGACCCACATATGCTGAAAATAGAGTTAGAGGGAAAAAGAATGCATAATTGCGCGATCAGCGCTCATCATGCTAAAGACGAATAGAATGAAGAAAATGAAAGAGAATAATTGGGAAAATGAAGAGAATTTACAAACTAATGAAAATTAGTTACGTAAAAGTCTTATATTGTTGTGATCACTTCTTAAACGCTTCTCAGTGCTGTCGTTGATTTCACGCGATTCTGGCCATCACACTCTGAAAGTTCTCGTCCTCAGCGACTATTTCCAATGGCAATGACTGATTTATTGCGCGATCAACAATCCTTCTCTTGCCTGTCCTAATTTTGGCTGCTCTTACGTTGCCATCCGATGAAGTCTGCAGCTCCAGAAGCCCTAACGGCCAACTTGATCTCGGCGCGTCTTGTCTCACAAGTACAACTTCGGCAACACGTGGTAATCTCAGAAGAACGGGATTTCGCGCGCGTCGCTTCTCTCTCGCCAATGCCGTAAGATACTCGTTCTGCCAAAGATTCCAAAAACTTTTAGATCGTTCTGTAGTATCCTATAGTTCAACGTCTGGTAGCTATCGCTCGGCGAATTCACGATCCTGTGCGGCAAAGTGTCCTTCAGTCGGGCTATTCTGAATCTCGGCGATATCGAGTTCATCGGTCGAATGGCCGCGTTCGCGTTCGTATTGACGGAGTTCACTGGAAAGAGCGGTCTTGTATTGAGGATGGCTTCTATCACTCTAACGGTGCCATTCGTCTCGTACTTGGTGTGGAGCTTCTTCATATACGAACCGTCCATTTGGCGCTGGCCTTCACGGTAGTGCTCACGTATCAGCACAAGCTCAGCTGCCGCAAAGCCATCTGGTGTTATTGTAGATGTAATATTCATCGTGTTGAAGGGAAAACGTTCTTCGCGCGCTTCTGCGCGTCCTGACTCTGTGACGCAATTTGGCTACATACTTGAGGACTACGCCGTTATACGGACTAATTTCATGTACGAATTTGTGCGTGTAAATGGCACGAAGAACTTGTACGCCTCCTGAATACTGCCAATCAAAGTTACGACTGCCCTGGGTGTGCGAAGCTCTTACGATTTCGCTTCTGGTGGTGTGGGCTGCGATGTCTGAAAGGGCTTGCACGGCCACTGTAAGAAAGCTGTAGTAAGGAACGTAGGGCCTGCCCACCAAATGTGCTGTCGAAGCTCGAGGGCTGTTAATTCTCTAGTGGCACAGTCCGCCGGGTTGGTCTCTAGTCAAATAATAAAATCCGGTAGCGATCTTCTCTGCTTCTAGCTCGTCCAAAACATGACGAATATACTTAACGCGATTTACCACATAAGTCTTGAGTGGTTTATGTGAATGAGTCCAACAGAGGATTATTTGTGAGTCAATTAGGAACTTAATCGAGCAGAACCTGACTTTCAGCTGGGTTTTCAGAAACTGTACTGTCTTGGCTGCCATATGGCAAGCCAAGAGTTCCATGCGCGGCATCGTAATGGCGCCGGGTGGAGCTAATTTTGCTTTAGCAAAGAGAAAGGTAGATCGAGCTGTGCCATGATGGCGCGCTATGACATAAACAGCTACTGCACACATTCGCTTAGACACATCTGAACATAAGACTAGGTCATATGCCTCGTCGGTGTCGCCAATATAGCGCGACACGCTTAACTAAAACCCGCTCATGTCCTGCACAATTGCGTTCCACTTCTGGATGTCTTCATAGATTAGATGATCGTCCCAACCGTATCCAGACTCCCATAGGTCCTGTATGAACATTTTGGCTTTTATCAGCAGAGGTGTCAATAATTCTAAGGGGTCAAATGTCGACGCATAAACTTGTAGCGCTGTCCTCTTGCTCGTAACTG